ATTGTAGGAGCTCTTCAATACTTAACAATCACAAGGCCTGAGATCTCCTTTGCAGTTAACAAAGTAAGTCAAGTCATGGCCTCTCCTTTTGATACTCACTGGAAAAGTGTTAAAAGGATCTTGAGATACCTGAAAAATACACCTACATATGGCCTTCATTTGACTGTAAGTAAAAAGTTGAATTTGGTTGGCTTCTCTGATTCAGACTGGGCTGGGGACCCAGATGATAGAAAATCAGTGACAGGATCATGTGTTTTTCTAGGAGGAAACTTGGTTACATGGTGTTCTAAGAAGCAAAATGCCATTTTTCGTTCGAGCACATAAGCAAAGTATCGATGTCTTGCATCCACAGCAGCTGAGATAAGTTGGATCAAATCTCTCTTGCATGAAATTGTCATTTCTCTTCCTACTATTCCTGTGATATGGGTATACAACATCAGTGCTATAGCCTTGCTTCTAATCCTGTTTTACATGCTCGAACAAAACATATTGAACTGGACATTCATTTTGTAAGAGATAAGATCAACAGAGGTGAATTGTCAGTGCAACATGTTCCATCTGGTGATCAAATGGCAGATATTTATACTAAGCCTTTGAGTCACCTTTTCTTCTCTCGGCTAAGACAGCTACATTGTGTTACTAATCTCACCTCACTCGAATTGCGGGGGCCTGCTAGAATTGAAGAACAATCTGGAAGCTCACATGCCATTCATCAAAACTCAGATGATCTGCATGCATGGCCCACTCAACCAGCTTAGGCGCCAAGACTCCTTCACAGCATAGCATCTCTTTTGAATCTATTACTAATTTTTGTCTTATGCTAAATTCCAGCTCATTGTACTAGAGAGTGGTTATCCTTTTAGGGTTTATGTTCTATAAACACAATGTAACCTCAGTTCTTGTCCTCTACGTTTTGAGCAAATATCAGCAACCTCATTAATGGGTTCACATGTTCTTGTTTATGGCTCTTTGCTTATGAAAATTGATCCATCTTTCTTTCACTTATATCAAAATTCAGCACTCACTAAATTCGTACTTCATCATTGAGACCAAAAGGTTTATTTTTAGTTAAAAAAATATAGGAAAAATTTCAATTTTGGTCCGTTTACTTGTCTAAAGTCCATTTTTGGTACACTAACCTGCTCCTTATCAAAAATAGTAAGTTGTATTGCAATTTGTATTATTTTGGGACATTATTCATCAAAAACAGTACGTTACATATCAATTTGTATAATTTTTAGGA